TTCTTTTCTTTTTCTTTTTCTTTTTCTTTTTCTTTTTCTTTTTCTTTTTCTTTTTCTTTTTCTTTTTCTTTTTCTTTTTCTTTTTCTTTTTCTTTTTCTTTTTCTTTTTCTTTTTCTTTTTCTTTTTCTTTTTCTTTTTCTTTTTCTTTTTCTTTTTCTTTTTCTTTTTCTTTTTCTTTTTCTTTTTCTTTTTCTTTTTCTTTTTCTTTTTCTTTTTCTTTTTCTTTTTCTTTTTCTTTTTCTCTTTTTTTTTCTTTTTTTTCTTTCTTTTCTTTTCTTTCTTTTCTTTTTCTTTTTCTTTTTTATCTTCATCATCATCCACCTCCTCTTCCTCCTCTTAACCCATTCACCCCAGATTTATGTTCTGTCCCCTGAAGCTTTTGGTGAATTTTGTTACATATAGATGGCTCCACATGTGCTCAGCCGGCAGCCGGTTACTGATCTGATTCCCCATTCCTTGAATTGGCAGGAAAATGTGTTTTTCCTTATGAATACTATTGCTATCGATACTGTTATGATTATTATTGATGTTATGATTATTGTCATTAAAATATTTTAGACAATGTAATGATAAAAAAGACCCTTTCCTAAAGTGAAGGACAAGGGTAAACAGGTGAGATAGGTAGTTCTGATACTGGCTATTGGTGATTAAGAACTTGTAGAGCCATTTATGTGTAAATTAATTAATTATTATTATTTATTATTATTATTATTATTATTATTTGTAGAAATACAAGCACATGCTGCAGTTTTACTTAATTCACACTTATAACACTTTCTTTCTCTCATTCTCTCTCTCCTCTCTTCTCTCTCTCTCTCTCTTTTTCTCTCTCTCTCTCTCTCTCTCTCCTCTCTCTCCTCCTCTCTCTCTCTTCTCTCTCTCTCTCTCTCTCTCTCCTCTCTCTCTCTCCTCTCTCTCCTCTCTCTCCTCTCTCTCTCTCTCCCTCCCTCTCTCTCTCCTCTCTCTCTCTCTCTCTCCTCTCTCCTCTCTCTCTCTCCTCCTCTCTCTCCTCTCTCTCTCTCTCCTCTCTCTCTTCTCTCTTCTCTCTCCTCTCTCTCTCTCCTCTTCTCTCTCTTCTCTCTTTCTCTCTCTCTCTCTTCTCTCTCTCTCTCTCTCTCTCTCTCTCCTCTCTTCTCTCTCTCCTGTCTCTTTCTCTCTCTCTCTTCTCTCTCCTCTCTTTCTCTTTTCTCTCTCTCTCTCCCCTCCTTCCTCCTCCTCCCTCTGTCTCTCTCTTCTCTCTTTCACTCTTTGGGTCTCCTCTCTTCTCTCTTTCTCTTCCCTTTCTCTCTCTCTCGTGTCCTCTCTCTCTTTCTTTCCTCGTTCTCCCTCACTTCCTTCCCTCTCTCCCTCCCTCTCTCACACTCTCTCGCCTCCCTCTCCCCCTCTCTTGCTCCTTCTCCCCCTCTCTCGACTCCCTCCTCCCATTCCCCCCCCCCTCTCTCTCTCTCACTCTCTCCACCCTCTCCCTCTGCCCTCCTCCCTCTACTCCCTCCCTCCCTCCCTCCTCCTCCCTCCTTCCTCCCTCTCTCTCTCTTCCTCCCTCCCTCTCTCACTCTCTCTCTTTCTTTTTCTCTCTTCTCTCTCCTCTCTCCCTCTCTCTCCTCTCTCTCTCCTCTCTCCAACACTCTCTCGCTTCCTCTCCCCCTTCTCTTGCCATTCTTCCCTCTCTCTCTCCCTCTCCCCATCCCCCCCCCCCTCTCTCTCTCCTCTTTCTCTCTCTCTCTCTCTCTCTCTCTCTCTCTCCTCTTCTCTCTCTCTCCTCTCTCCTCTCCTCTCTCTCCTCTTATTCTCCCTCACTGTGTATTGTAAAATAATCCTTTGTATATTCAGTGGTCCAGCATGGGTAAACAAGAATGCCTTGATTGTACCACACTGCAGGTAAGGTGTTATCTTCCAAGCGGAGCTTGAAGGAACATGAAAGGAATCCACACAGCTGAAAAGCCATTTGAGTGTTCACTTGTGGACAGTAAATTCACTGCCTCTAAGGGGAAAGCTCCGTGATCATTGAAGAACACACACAGGGTGAAAGACCATTGAGGCTCATATTGTTCAGAACGTTTTTTTTAAGGTCTCAGTGAAGGAATGAAAAAGACATCAAGTGAATTTCAGTGATCCTATTGTGAGAAGAAATTTTTGCTGACAACGTTTGTTTACAGTCAAATGAGAAGAAGTCATTTAAATGAAAAGAAATACAGTGCCCACATTGTGAAAGAAATTTATAAGCAGTTCTGCCCTAGGTAAATCATAAGAAATGGCATGATGGTGAGAAAAAGTTTGAATGTTAATATGCCCTAAGGAAATTTCTACAAAGATTGTTTGAAAAGACATTATTGTAATCCATACGGGTTGAAAAAACATTTCAGGGCCATACTGTGATATGAGATTAATGGATAGGTCAAACTGCAAAGCAGCATGAAACAAATTCACACAAGGGCCAGCTAGACATTATCACTCCCAAGATGAAAAAAATCAGAATGTCGGAAATTTTCAAGATAAATTGCAAAGTGCAAAGAGATTGATGAGATGTCATCTAAACTTCATGAAAGAGAGAAAAAGACCCCAATGTTACACCAGAGGAGAAATGTCTCTCCTTCCCAGCCGTACTGGAAGGTTCTCTCACAAAAAAGAAGAACGCGTCCTAAGAGAATAGTTCAGGACAGAGGCAGGTGAAAAAGCCTTTCAGTTGTTTCATATTGTGAAAAAAAGACATTCAGTTTAGGGAAACAGGTAATCATGAGAAAAGGATACATACTAATGAGAAACCTTTCCAGTGCCTACAGTGTAAAAAGGAAAATTCATAACCAGGTATGAGTTAAAATTCCATAGTTGAAAGTTACATTCTGAGAGGGAGTTTACTTGCCCACATTTAGTTACAAATTCCAGAGTAAAGCCAACTTACAGCGACACATAAGAGTTAATATTCGTAGAAAAGCAGTCAGTTGTTTCTATTGCAGTGAAAAATTGAAGCAGGACTGTGCTCTCAAAGAACATGTAAAAATTTCACATAACTCTGAAAGTATTTAGCTGTCAACAGTGTAATGCAAGGAATCACAACAAAATCTCTGTTAAGTAAGCATGTAGAAATTCATGGCAAGTAGGACTGTCTGAAGTATGAAGAGGAGCCTGCCAGTCCAACTTCTGTGTTAAAGACTCTGGAGAGGAGGCTGGAATGAATATGGATGAGCAAAAGTTTTGCCTTCCTGTGGTACAAAGAGGGATATCTTCCACGGCAGGTCATTTCAAAATGATTCAAGTTCTATTCACAGACACATACAGCGGGAAAAATATTATGGATGCATGGAGTTTAAAAAGAGTTTACACTAAAGACCGCTTTAAGAAAGCATGAAAATACACACATGGCAAGGAAGACTTTCAGTGTTCACAATGTGGAAAAAAAATGATTCTCCACAGTGATGCTGGAAAACACATTGAAGGTCCAATTACTGGGAAGAATGTATTGTTTGTCACTATTGTAATGGGGTTGCCACAGACAAAATTCTAAAAAAAACATATATTATTGTATACGGCTGAAAAACTCTAAAATTGCCCTCATTGTGATGCAGTATGAAGCCAAAGTGCATTCTAGAGAGCATGTGAGAACTAAAGAATGTGATAAAAAAAGCTTAACCAGAATGCTTTGATACACACAAAAAAGGACAAAAAGTTAAGAATACTTACAACCTTTTGAGAAGAAATTAGAAGAGCATGCCACAGGAAGAGACAGTTAAAGAAAGAACAGGACCTGAAATGTCTCCACCAATAGGTGAATACTCGCCAGCCCCAGTAAATTCATGAAGGATTGAAGAGTCCCCGTCCCCCCCAAAGGTAAAGATATATGTTTTGCTAAGGATTGGTCAGTGTCCTGATAACTGTAGTTTACATGCCAGTACAGAGAACCATGAAATACTGTTTAGATGTTTCTCATTGCAAGGAAGAATTCAGAGTTGAGAATGAGTTAGTCTGCATGAAAAGACACATACCAAAGAACAGCTTTTACAGTGTTCGGCAGTGTGCATGCAATTGGGTCAGAAAATGATTTAGGCAGCATGAAAAAAAACCATAAGGATAAAGAGGAGTTGTAGATTCCTTCAGAAGAACACACACAATGCAAAGGGAAGGGTCCCTACTTCTCTTATTAAGAAGACACCGAAAGAGCTTACAGGAGAGTTGAAGTAGAGGTAACAGACCAAGTGGATGTTCCTCAAGTTACAAAGATCCACCATTGTGTTTGCTTTGGATTGTCCATGCCAGTGGCAGAAATGAATGAAGAAAGAACAGATTGAAAAGTCTTCCGCAAATAGAAGGAAAAACTCCCCAGAAGCAGATTCATTTGGAAGGATGAAGGGGGTTGGGGAGTCCTGTCCTTCCCAAAGGTACAGATAAATGGTCATGGCAAAGGATGTCACTGTCCTGATAATTGCAGTTTACATGCCAATGCAGAAGACACATGAAGTTCTCCTGTTGTTCTCATTGTGAGGAAAAATTCAAAGAACTGAGAACAACTTAATCCAGCATGAGAGGACACATACCAAAGATAGAGCTTTCAGTGTACACAGTGTGCACACAAATTTGGTTCAAGAGAATGCCTTAGCACAGCATGAAGCAACACATAAAACTAGACAACAGGATAAAAGTTTTCAGTGTTCCATTTCTGAGTGTAGATTCCTTCCAGAAGAACACAACACAATGCTAAGAGGAGGCATCCTTACTTCCCGTTTAAAAAGGCACCGAATGAGCTTACAGAGGGAAGAAGTAGCATGGTAACAGACGAGTGGATATTCCTCAAGTTTCGAAAATAACCCAAAATATTCAATTGCAGGACAAGGAGCCTTCCGCGTCTATCAAGTAAAGCATTGTGTCCTGCTAAGGATTGCACTAGCCCCTAAAAAATTGCAGTTTACATCCAGAAAGAGATAGATAACAAGATTGTTTAGGTGTTCACACTGTAAGAAAAAATTTACATCAAGGATATGAATTGAGACTGAATAAAAAAGCCCATACTCGTAACAAACCCTTCCATTGTGTACAGTGTGATAGCAAGTTCAGTTTGGAGAATGACTTATAACAACACGAAAAGAACATACTAAGGTAAAGCTTTACAGTGTAAACACGTAGTTACAGGTTCAGTTGA